AGGTTTAGTAACAAAGAAATTTAATTTAGGTTTAATAATATAATTTTTTATAAATATAATAATTAAGTATTCTGTTAGTTATCAATGATTATCCTAATTATATTTTATATATTTTATATTTAAAATGGAATGTTTATCAAATATTTGATTATGTTTATCTGCAGTTAGTTAGATGAATTCAAGTATGGAGCTTTAATAAGTTGTACTTATGCACAATTTACTTGTAATCTTAAATTTTAAGTAATATACAGCAATAAACAGTACTTCATGCATAAAAAATCGTTTTTAAGAATTTTTGTCAAATACTTTATAATATAGTATAAATTATATAGTAAAAATTAGGCCTCTTATATAACTATAAAAGTTGGACCCCAATTTTCTCTAACCCTTGGTCGGTGCCCATCTTTGCCTTCCCCCATAATAGCCTTGGATCTGACCTACCCTAAGGAAATCCTTCCAATAATCCAAATATATATATATATATATATATATATATATTGACACGTTCAAATGAAAACTGTGCATTTTTAAGAAAGTGTGTAAACTAATTTCGACCAATAGAAAAATTTTATTTTTTTCTAATTAAAATTAATCAATAAGGGTATTTCAATCATTTACAATATTTTCTATTAAATATGGAAGTTATTAATAAATCTTAATTAATGAAACGTAATAAAGGAAATTGTATAAATGGTAACATTTAAATATTTAATTATATTATAATATTAAAAATTTGAATTTCATTTATTGTAATATTTAAGAATCAGCAAACGGGTCTTGATGAAACAATTGAAGTGTATAATGAAATCATCAAATCGTAGATGAACAAAAAAAAATCCACAAATGAAACAGATTTCATGAACGTGAAACTGGTTCATGTTGCAAATAAATTATGTGAAATGAAACATTTTCATGGTGAACCCGTTGGATTGATTGTGTAGTTGATCCATTTAGGGGCCGTTTACCAAACGCTTACTCGGGTAAGTGAACACAAAGCCACATTACTTTACCGGATGAACATGGTAAGAACCAAAAATATTACCCGGTAAGAGCGAGACAAGGACCAAGAGTCTTACCCGGTAAGTGAGGGTGACGACTCTTACCACATTAAGCGCTTACCGGGTAAATTGTTGCATACGGTACCGTTTTGGTGGACTAGAATCTTACCCGGTAAGTAAATGATAGTGTTACATTTTGCTGGTAAGCGCTTACCGGGTAAGTGTTTGATAAACGGCCCCTTAGTTGGTGAAGAGGAAAATGAAACCGGTGCATTTTGTATTTGGTGCGTCATGAACTAAGTGCATGATGAAACGAGAAAATGATTTTAATCTAGTACAAAATCTTAAAGATTGTAACTTGCTCCAGAATCTTGAAGATTGTAAGGCTTAAAGGAATGAATCCATCAAATCAGTAGTGAAATAAGAAAATTACTATACATGAAATAGGTTTCATGAAAGTGAAACTGGTTCATTGCGTTATTGAGCATGACTAGTGAAACGGTTGCATAATGTATTTGGTTCATCATGAAATAATTGCATGATGAAACGGGTACATGAAGAAACTGCTTTAGAATCTTGAAGATTGTAATATGCTTTAGAATCTTTAAGATTGCAAGGCTTA